TTCTCCTTTATTCAATTATCAAGATCTTTCAGAAGTTATATTTAGCATTTTTAACTCTTAATAATTTGAGATGTTTAATTATTTAAAATATTGAAGTTTCTTTAGTATATGAACATTAGGCATTTAAGTCCTGTAAAGATTTATCAATTGGGATAAGACCTGATTGATATTAGAGACCTCTTAATTATACACCAGTTTAATCATAGAGCTTCTTTTGAGAAAATTATAAAAATTTGTTTCAACGTTGATATAAAGTGGTACTTCCAGTTAGCCGATTTTAAGGGGAAAGTTGCTATGACATCAAAACCACATATCTATCTCAAATACGTAATATCAGTTTTTTATGACTTCGTTTTTGAGCTAGACTGTTCTCATACACATGCGCACAGACCATTTTGCGGAACTTGGTTATTTGGACTCAAGGGACCTCAAAACCTGTATTTCCGTTGAAAACTCGGATGCGAAAGTTTTCACAATCCGAATAATTTCCCTTACTATATATTGCATACATAGATAAGTGAAAGTAAAAAAAGATTGAAATCAGACAACTTTGTGCACAGAAATGAAATGAAAAAATAATTTTAGTCTGAGACTACAGTCCTCTGTGAATAATAGAGTTACATAATTAAGAACATTAGTCTGGCTTAGATGAATACAAAATGATGCCTAATTAATTGTTGATTGTTATTGCAATTGTGCAGTTGATTGAATTAGAGTTTGTACATATGCAAGTGAATTTTACATGTTAGCGGAAGTTTGAATATGGAGTAGGTGGTGCAACAGGAGTTGTTTGAAGGAATTTGTGGACGAGAATTGACATATGGAGTTTGGTAGAAAGTTTCAAATGGAGGCATCACGAATGACGAAGAATTTGCTGAAGAAAGTAGTTTTATGGGAAGGGATATATAAATCTATAGGTTGAGACCTGGTATTGGGAGATTGGATAGAGGAAAGTAAAGTAAAGAGTTCTAGGATGTAGAGAGAGTTTTTGGTTCTGATGATTTGTAAAAAGAAAACACCAGGGAGGAATTGTGGTCGGGAAGTAGGATAATGCCACTCCAACTCAGTGTACCTGAATGAAACATGGGAGCGTTTGGGGATCCCTTGGTGTTATGAACCTTTTGCATCTGTTCTATTGCAAAGTTGATTCTTTTTATTTTATAACTGAAATTTTTTTTTTTTCCTACGGCAAAAATCTATATTGTTATCTAACTGATAATTTAATTTTCAATTTTTTTAAAACGGGAAATGAATAATAAAAACATTCTAAAGAGACAACTTTTTATGTAATTTTTCGGAGAATCGGTGGGAATAACGTTGCGTGACACGCCATACGTACCTGTATGATTTATAAATATTTGACTGCTCACTTACAGTCAAACCTTAGCAAAAGGTTCTATTAAAACTGGTAAATTATATAGACATGTCTAGTAATGAACACGGTGGGACCAGTAATGGACATGGTCAGGTCCAGCGATGAACATCAGTGTCTGACTGGTTAGAGATGGTTTAAAGCAAAACTAAGAATACCATGCATTTTCCGTTCTTTCTGGATTCGGAAATTACAAAAAAATGATAAATGTTCGTTAAAGTGCAGAGTAGCAGTCATGGACGTGTGTGTCCATAACTAGATTTGGGCTGATTTTTGATCTGATGGACACCCCCTAAACGTCGTTAAAAACGTTAATTTGAATTAAATTTAATAGCGGCTTCAGGATTTAATTTTTTTTTTGGGGGGGGGGCTTCAGCCGAAAGCTTTTTTTTCATAAAAATAACGATAATTAATTACTTTGGAAAAACAGAAAGAAACTAACTACCTATATTAAATGTTGTTTAAGTGATTCCTTAAATCCTTTTAAATGTAATTACACGAACAATAATACTTTAAAAGGTTTTTTTTTTTCATAAAACATGGTTATATTTAACATTTTGGGGGGAGGGCTTCAGCCCGATAGCCCCTCCTCCCGTAGATCCGCCCGTGGCTGAGATTATAAAGTGGTAAATTGTATAGTTTCATAGTGAAACTCTAAAATTTAAAAACCTACGAACATAAATATTCAACTGTTAATACGAACACACACACGCACGCCCACACACACACACACACACACTTAATTTTACCTGGATGGACCACATGTAAAGAAATTGATAAGGATACAGCATTAAAGCTGATAAAATTTCTTTGAATAAAGTTTATATTTTTTGTATCTATATAGTTTTCGAGATATTCATGACCTTAAATTGACAATTTTGAATAATTTATTTTTTCGAACTTGTCTTTTTAACACAACAACCTTTCGTACTACAAAAAAAATTTAGGAAATAGTTTTTTTTTATAGATGTATATATCCTTTACCTGTTTTAATCCTGTATTTTATAATCCTGTATTTCGAATAATCATTCTGTCATCATTCTGACTGAAATCATTCTGAACTGTCTCGTTCCAGAAGATGCAAGCCTAAGAAATTTGTATTTTAATATTTTTATTATTTAATGTATTTAGGTACTTATGATTTTAATAAATGAATTTTTGCAATATTTTGTGTGCTTATTGTATAATTACTTCCCTCTCCCGTTTTCACTTTATTGAAATCAACTTTAAAATTGTAAATATCGAGAACATAACATTTTCCATTTTTGATGAATTTTCATTTCCTTGGTCGATTATAATTACCGGGAACATAAGAATTGATAACTTCGAGGATAGTCCATATGGTAGTGTTCCGGATTCTACCTCTTCGGACCTTTTCTGCCACACTTAACGGAGGTAACTAATTCCCATAGATTCAATCTTCTTTTTTTTCACCGCAGACCAATTTCGAGCCTTCAAAGAGAATATTCCTAAAAGTTATTCAGCTACTATCTATTTCGTAATCCCACGGTTTGCTTTATCTAAGGCCATTCTCTCTATTTCCTCTTGGAAATAAGTCGCCACTTTATCCTTCTTTAAGCTGTACGATTTGATGATTTTACAATAATATGGTTGCTTATAAAGTAATATTGGATCAATAATATTTTTTCTTATTTATAAAATATATTATTTCCACGACTTTATTTACTTCTACAATTATCCATCCTTTCGCAAGTTCCTTTAAATAATTTTTCTAATCAGGTGAGTGACACCTGTACTCTAAGGTCTTATAGTGCGGATAATTCTTCTTGGACATTAGTTGAAGGAGATGACTCTCCGTAGAATTAGAACCATATCTTTCTCAGCAGCATAGTTCTGAGCGAGTGCTTCATTCTAAACTGCCAACTTCACGAAAGATTACTATGCTTAACAAAACGCAAACAAGAAAATGGAGAACGTCAATAGATATGACCACAGCCACTATATATAACGTAACCGGGCAGCTTTCAGCGGGACAGTACCACCTTTAAGCGATAAGTCTCATTGCACCTATTTGTTGTGGGACAGGTAAATATCCCACTTTGTATGATTCACTCTTGTCGCACCATTCAGCTTCATGTTTTAACCTGGCTCTACTGCTCGAGGTAATTACAACTGCCAGATCGCCTAACAGACGTATATGGTGGCCGGCAACCACTCCTGTCACAACATTCCCAGTAGCTCAAAGAACAATATCAACAAGGGAGGACCGAGCCCTGCGGACAATCTTTCCGCACTGCCTCCTACTTCAAAAACATACCTTGTATCTTTAATCTTATATCTTAAGTTTTTTAACGTAGTTTCTCAAGAAGTCATACAAGTTGTTCAAAGCTTCATACTTCTTACATAAGTCTGACGATGTCGACTCATTAGTGGTTCTCGACCACGGCTTATAACGACTGGGACCATTTAGGGCCACTGTGACTCTAGTTCTCATATAGTTCATGTGAGGGATCACGTTGAACTTTCGACCAATTTTTATGCCAAGGTAGGTGACAACCTCACTTCGACGTATCCTTCCTTTTTCTATACTCTACACAATATGATGTGCCCTGTCAGTTGTACCCCTCAAGAGAATTGCCTAGGTCTTTGTTGCAGCCATCTTTAACTTCTTCCTCTCGCACCATCTTCCTACCAACTGGCGCATCGTTCCGCTTCTGCTTTCAGACCGGCTATGCTGTTTAAGACCACCACGGCGGCCAAATCGTCAACATAGGCCGTGGCAGAGAACCGCTCTTCTTCGAGCTTCTTCAGCAACTCATCAAAGACTAGCTTCCACAAGGCAGGACCCAAAACAGATCCCGGTGGGCAGCCTCTCTCGACGGTGTCTTCTGCTTCAAAGAAACTGGCCCTAATTTTCAATGTCCTGTCCTGGAGGTAGCTTCTCACTAAGTCATACAGGTTACTGGGAGTTTCAGACTTCTGGAGTTGCTGGAGAGCTCTTATGGGCATCAACATTTCTATTACGCAAAGACGGCGGATTTTACTATATTATGTTAAATATAAGTTTTGTATTCAGCTAAGACATTTGACAAAACCATTTCCTATCGATAACATAAAAAAGGATCTGTTGAGTGACTGAAATATTTTGTCAATTCAGAAAAGTAATATGGCTCTGGGAAATTCTGAATTTGGATTCCTTGAAGTCTACTAAATTAAAATTTGGTATAACGTTATGCCGTATCTGAAAATAAAGAGGTTTAAAATTGATTTCATACTCATAAACTGAGCCTGATTATTAAATATTGGTTAGACAACCTACTTTATTTAATAGGTTTTATTTTTACAGAATTAACAATATTTTGTTTCTTAAAATTTGAGTAAATTTGTAACCAATGAAATTGTTGACAATATTTTGATAATGAAAGAAAGCGCTTCGGGAGCGCTAGTGAGCTCTTATCTGTACATCGAATGACATAAATCGTAATTTCAAGTCAGTTCTTGGGCTTTGTCAGTTGGAGATGTATGTGTTTAATTGTTTTGGTGATGAAAATAGAAAAAAATAATAAGAATTGTTATAAGCTAACAGCATTTAATGTGGTGTGCAATGGCCTGACCCCACTTCTTTACATTTGTTTTAATTATTTGGGTCAGATTTTTTACAAATAAAATGGCAAATGATCTGTGGAGAGACTGTGTTAGTTGGTTAACAAGATGTGGTGTTTTACGACCTGACCATAAAGCTAACTGGCCTGAAGCTACTCTTACAGATTTAGCATACACCCTTAGAGATGGTGTGTTACTGTGTAATTTCATCAATAAAATAGATCCAGGCTGTATAGATATGAAAGATGTTAATCAGAAACCACAATTTGCTCAGGTAAAAACAAAACAATCAATAAATGACTAAGTCTTCCTAAAGTTTATTAATTTTTTACCTATAGCATGACCCAAGATACTCCTAATATATTAATGTACTTAGCCGTACATATTAAAGCAAAACTTGTTGAACCTGACAAAAGTTTTAATATTGATAGAAAACTCAATTACCAAAGAACATTCATTTTGATAGTATGTTAAATCCTAATGACTATAATACTTATATTTTGATTTAATATGCCGACATCGTCAGTATTACTCTGTGAAATTTTCTGTTTATATGTTATTCGTGTTGCTTTCACTTCATTTTCTTACTTTCGACTTGACATATTGTAATGACCTGAATTTTATTGAAAACTGGTAATTAGCTTTCAGTATATTGCTTTGATTTTTTTATTTTTAATATTTCATTAATTTATGTTCCTTTGGGGAGCATTGTAGTTCAGTGGGTGAACAGTGACTTTCCGAGCTTAAGGTCCTAGGTTCGAATCCGGCTGATGACTAGTCATTTTTCATCAGCTGTTGGTCGATCCTAGAGCCGGGAGATCGTCCTGGGGGATCCTAGTCTCTATAAAGTGGGTACTCTTAATTAAGGGGAAAAATCTGGAGGTTGAGCGTGATATTGGCTCGTCACCTCCCTGCACAACTGTTGGTCTTGTAACAGTACTCCTAACATAGTACTGAACCCAAGACCCTTCATGGTTTGTTAGTGGTACAGTTTTAGTACTACTAAACATCATTGGAAGAGAAAAGATTCCTTCCTGTGGGTAGCCATTACTCTTGGCCCATTCTGCTGTTTGATGTGTCCTAATTCTGTTCTGAAATTCCTTTTGTTCAACTCGTTGCTAATTCATCTGGAGAATACCGGATCTACTTTTATATTTCTCATTCTGTGGGAGATAACACATATAGTGTTCTGCCAAATTTACCTTTGATGTCAGCGAAAAAGCATATTATAATCTCTTTTTGTCAATTTCTTTCAATTCATAAAGCTATGTTATATAAAACTACTTCTTCAGATTCCACTGCATGGTGTGCACATTTATTCGGATGAATCACATTTGCTATCAATGCATGTTCTCAGTCTGTGAACTATTTATTTCAATGTCTTCGTCAAAAAAGGTGTAAGACATGTTCTAAATGCTTTTACATCTTCATAGGATCCTTTTTGTGTTATTGTCAAGTATTTTGAATGTTCCCCTGGAGAGGAGTATACATTCTAGTGTTACACTGCTCCTAACCTCTTATAAGGTTTATATGTTGATCACCAATATACCTTTCTTTAATAGTACAGGGAAAATTTCTTCAGTGCCTATACTAATTTAAATGAAGGGATAGCCCATTCTTTCTTGGTAATATTGTACTTGGTAGTCGAAATCAACAGGCGCAGAGAAAAAAAATCCATGGTAATGGTAAAGATATTTTACCTAATTTATACTTGTCAGAAATGAAGCTACAGATGATGTAGTTTATTATCTCAGATGCAATAAACTCATAAACAAAAGTGTGCTTGTGCAAGTACTTCTAATACTGCTCACTAACTTGAGCATTCGAAGGATCCCTTTAATGTTTTGCAACCGAATTTCCTCCAGACTTTTGTTTTCCACACAGATTTATGATATTCTCTCAGAGCTTTTTTCTATGTATCACATCTGCTCCTTTTTTATTTTTAGCATTAAATAATCTTCCAGAGAGGATTCTTTGCTTATTTAATTTACTGTTCCAATAGTTTACTTCCCTGTTGAGTGTGTTTTTGCCAACATCGTTGCTGATAATGTATGAATCGCCAAACCATCTGTCAATGATATATACTCAAGTATTCTAGTTGTCAGTTAATATGACAGCTTCCGACCGATTCAACGAGATTGATAAGATTGATCAGTGGTTGATGAGATTTCCGATGTATGAATTTAGGGTTCCTATATTCCAAATTACATTTCATGTTATCAGTTATATTTCTGAAATAGTTATGGTCTGAAGAATACCTTTATCAGAGACATATCAGTTTTCTATCCTAGCGTTTATATCTGTGTTTCAATTTATAATTGATAATTATTTATAATGGGCCTTGCGGGATAAGGCGCTTTCAGTAGGTAATCAAAGTTAAGCAACGTCGAGCGTGGCTAGCACTTGGATGGGTGACCGTCAACCAAGGAATGTCACGCTGCTCGAGATTCTCCCTCCTCCCCCGGGTATGTGAACCCATCAGCCTACGGGAGGCAACTTACACCGACCAGGCCTAGGAATGATGACCCTACCCCTTACTTTAAATTGGGAATCGAGATGTGGTCTAGGAGACCAAACTCCCGGTCAAAGATCTTCATGGTCTGTAGCGCCAACCGAAAAAAAATATTTATAATTAATTCTAAGGAATCAACTCTTGAATTTATATATTTGCTACCCCATATGATGTGAAGAGTATAATGTTAGCCAGTCCCTCAATAAGGGTTTTTCTCATACAGCAGATGGCCGAATACAATGGTGGAGCTAGCGTTTCTTAAACCCTTTTGTATGGTACCCATTGGGGCCCTATTTATCTCTATTAGCAAGCAGAAGTCAAAAGTTTTGATTTAATTAATGGAAGGTTACACTTGTGAATATCGTTAATAAAGGAGACTATTTCTCGTGGCCATCTTCATGGTCTATAGCAACAACCAATATATATATATATATAAATTTATTGTTTAAACATACCCTACTTGGTAGGCTTATAACTCTAAGTATTTACTTATAAGAAAAAATAATAATTTTAATTTTGTTGTATTTTTCACAGTTCCTTTGTTTGAGGAATATAAAGACTTTTTTGCAAGCTTGCCATGAATATTACGGACTTAAAGAAAGTGATTTGTTTGAACCTTCAATGCTATTTGATTTGACTGATCTCTATAGAGTTATCCATACATTATCAAAGCTTTCAAACTGTCCAAAAGTACAGAGACACAGTATTTCGTGAGTTTTCATTTTTTTGTATTTTATAATTATTATTAGTTTTAATTTTATGCATTGTTTTAATTCATACTTGCTATACTCATACTAATTTTTATATTAATTTTGTTATTAGTGGATTTTCTGTTCATAAACCAAGGACCTTATCACAAGAAGACATATACCGAAACCTTAGTTCAAAGTAAGCATTTTGAGTAGTTTATTTTGATTTATATTCAGTATATTTTCCATTTTAATGGTGCTTGGCTGTCATTATGGATTCTGAATATGGTATAAATTTTGTTGGTTGAGTAGTGGAGTTTGCACACCCTGTGGGGATCCTTCTTGGATGCAGTTTACTATTAAGTCTCCGCAACTTGATGACCGAGATGAAGAAGTTTATGAAGACTTATGTTATGTTACATTCTCTTCTGAGGTACATCATGGCCTTTTTTTCTGGCCTTGGATGTATTATTTCTGATTTTATTTTCTCTAAATGTTTTCCATTTAATTTATGCCTGCTTTTTAATTGTATTTATTGGGCTTACTTCTGTGTACAAATTTAGGCAAGCTCAACATTTTAAATCACCTTGTACCTTTTTCTATAGCTGCTACTGATGTTAATGTTTTTTTTTTTAAATTTGTGATTATTAAATTTCATTTTTTAGTTAAATCATGTTTTTGTTTCTTTATTTTTATTAATGCTTTTGTAGATGATGGCTTACTGTTTTTGTTGTGTTTTTGCATGTGTTATATTTTGCATGTGTAGCAGTGGTGAAGATGAAGCCTGTGCTGTCATCGAGGATTGTGTTGAATATGCACATTATGATACTCATGTCCGAAATGAAGAAATATATCAAGATCTCTGTTCTATCGATAAACATGCAACACCTGCACTTTTCGTAAGTTTTAGTTGTGTTATGTTTTTATTTTTAAAATTTATCATCATCATTATATTTTACTTTGTTTTTGAAAACTGTTCTGAAGTTGACATTGTTTTCTATTTCTCTAAAACATGAGGTTTATCATTTTCTTTTTTGGCATTAAATTTTTTATATGATAGTCCAATTTTGACCTTTGTTTTTTCTATTTACTTTTTTTTTATGCAAAAGAAAACTTGACGGTGATTACTGAAAATTTTCTAGTCATATGAGAGGTTGTAATCTAGGTACCTATATTTTGTCCTGTTACTTATTTTGCTTCTTATTTGGATTATCTTTAACTGCTTGGGTCTGAGATGAAGTTAGATCTATATGCTGTTAGCCTATTTTAATTACCCCTTCTGATTTACTTCATCTTACCTCATTATTGCGGTTATAACAAAAATTATTTTTCTTTGGAGTAGTCCCGCAGATCTTCTAGACTCCATTCCTTTCTTATGTTTCTGGTTATATTATCATAATTTTCAGCACCTCCATTGAAAATCTGTCAAAAACATCTCCTTTAACGAGTTCCTGCTTCTCATGACCTCTTTGTTGCAGTAGTCTGAGCTATTATGAATATTTCTGGTTTATGCTAGAATAGTGTTTACTCAACTTAATACAGTAATCGTACAGCAAGAATCCAGTTTCGTTATGATGAAATATTTCTGTAATTTCAAACCGAAATGTTCAAAAGTGCTGATATAATCTCCTGAAATGAGAGGAAGCTGACTTATTCCTTAGAGTAATTAGTAGTTCTGTGAGAAATTTCATCAAAATAAAGTGAGTCATTTCTTCGATGCTGATGTAATGGAGGATGATTTACTTCAGCATCACTTCTAGTTAGCTGGTGAGGATAATTGTTACCGAGTTCAGCTTGAACATAATTTGTCTACACATGCATGTTTAAAGCATTTTCTTATGAATATTTTTTGATTAAATTTTATTTAACATTTTCATTAGTTTTCTCAAATTTAATTCATGCTATGTTTAAAAATAAAGTTATGTAAATGGGATTAATTATTACACACAAATGTGATACATATAGCTAGATATAATTATAATTTTTGATTAAAGAAGTAATAGTATCTCACTACTACTTATTTAACTTATTTATTTCTATAATAGTTGTTAGTACAGTGAAGTGCTAATCCAGATCCCACCTTGATCACCTTAAGACAAACCGGATTAAACAAACGTTGATGTAATATACACATGATAAATACATCAACAAATTTTTTTTAATCTCAAATGTACACATTTTGCTTGAGCTTAATTTTATTATCAATACTGCATAATAATTTATACATAGTTTTCAACTTATTAACCGAAAGAAAGTAAAAACAAAATATCTTTATGATTAAATTTTAAAATGTATTTATTGTTCAGTATTCTAAAGTAAGCATCTAAAAATTAATGATTTTAGAAACTAAATAAATGTTGAACAAAAGAGATGTTAATATGGGTTGTTACCGGATTTCGGCATAACTTAGATGAACTGATTTCATATTTTCTGTTTGATTATTGATGAATACTATCATCAAATTATTGTTTACTGCTTGCTAAAATAAAGTATTATGCTAGTTTACTATATATATATTTTTTTAATCTTGTCTGGATTAGCCGGATATCAGGGCTATGGGGTTCCGAATACTATAGTACCGTACTAAAATATAAAAATAGTAATTCAAAAGGTAATTTTTTGGTTATAAATTCAAACATTGATTGTTTGCTATTGAATTTACTTAAGGTAATTGAAATAATTTTGGCAAGATTTTCTGTAATTACATCAACTTGAAAAAACATACATATAAAATTTGTACTGCTATTGACTATAAATATACTAATCATTATATGCATAATTTCTATTTATTACCATAAATTGTTCTGCTTTTAGTCAGTGTTGCTAGAATCTGTTTTCATTTTTAATTTTTATCATTAGTTATACATTTATTGATTCAGATTATATGTGTGTAGGTTCCAGCTGCCATTAATCATAGTTTTGAAAAACGGGATTATGTAATTAATGAGTTGGTAGAAACTGAGAAGAATTACATTGATGTTTTAAGCACACTTCAACGGTGTTTTATTAGACCTTTGTCAACTGTTCTAAAAGAAGAAGATATTAAAGCAATATTTGGTGGTATAAAGGTACTCAGTAACTTTTATTTTATTTTACATTGTTATAACTGATCAAATGTTAATCTGCTTAAATCAAATAAGTAAATGTAATTCTCATATTTATGTGTTCTGAATTGATATTCGAGCTTCTTTTTCTGTTTAAATGACTGGTGATTCTTCCTAAAGAATTAAATGCTTGATTTTGTTAGACAATTACTTCTTGAAGTAGAGACCTCTTATAGAAAAGTTAAATTCTGCTCTGTACTGATTTAAGGCAGTGTATAGGTTTTATAAATGCAGAGAAGCACTAATGTTTGAACCAGAGATTGAAAAAAACATCCACGTGTTTGAGAAACAATTTACATTGAAAAATAAAAGATTTCTCCTTAAGCCAAAAGTTTTTAAAAGAAGCTTGAAAGGATTTACAAAAAAAATCTAAAAGAGCTAAATATTTTTAAAAATTGTGTTGGTTTAAGGTGTGAATTAAATTAATTTTTTCATTGATGTTATTTTACTTAAATTCAAGATACACTCTCAAGACCTTTTTAGTTAAGGAATGTCTTGAATATCAAATATGACACTAATTTTTTTTTTCTGTAGGAACTATATGAAATTCATGTAGGATTTCATAGCCAACTTACGAAAGCTGTTACACCTGGTACTCATTATCGCTTAAGTGAAGCTTTTTTGAACTGGAGGGAAAAGTTTTTAACATATGGTGACTATTGTGCTAATCTTACTATCGCACAAGCAAAAATACAGGAATTATCTGTGAGGAATGATATTTTTAATATGCAGCTCACGGTAATAAATTGTCTTATTTAGATGTAAACTAATTTAAGTTAGGTGTAGTATTCTGTTAAGAAACTTTCTCAATAGAGAACCAAGTATGTTAATTAAGATTGAATCTGATATTTATATTTTCTCATAGTTTTGAATCTCTAAATATTCAAGAGGCTATTATATCCATAAAAATATCCAGGAAACTATGATGGCAATCTTGAATTCGTGAATGCTGTCTGCCTTTTGTGTAAATAAGGGATTTACATTTTATTAAGCTAGCAAAGGCAAAAACCTAGATTTATTTTAAACATATTATTATTCTGAATCACAGTACAAATAATACACAACTTAAATATAAATATGAAAATTTGTTACTTGAAATTAATTTTAGCTTCTAGATTAACATAAACAATTATGTTTTATCTGTGATAGTGTGGCTGACTATGTTAAAATCTTTTGAACTTAAACATGAGTTGTAGTAGTGAACCTTAACTTGATTAAGACTTATGAAATTTTGTAAGGCTTAAGAATCATTTTTGAAACATTTTAATGTTTCTACTTTTGCAAGCCTCACTCATGCTCTTATATTTCTCATTATATTAGCTTGGTTTTGATTGTCAGATCATGCAATTTTCTGTTAACAACAAGCAAACACAAAATTAAATTTTCCAATAGGTTTTTCTTCCAAACATTTACAAGTGAAAATATACTTAGTTAGTAAATATTTTTGTACATACTGTTCTTGGAACATTTGTTTAATCTGTGAATTATCAAAGGTGCAATTCGTCATTGTGGGATTATTCCATTTTTTTTTCCCACACCGTGAGTTAGTATTTAATACAAACTCATGGGCAGACGTCAAACCTGCAAAGGTTTATTGTTTATTGCAAATGATCAACCTTGAATTTTATGAACTTCTGCAATTTGATATCAATATTAATTACTGGGAAAATTGTTCATAATCCTTTGAATACTACCTCAATGATGTATATCAGTTGCTTGTTTTTTTGCACGTTTCGAAAATGACTTATAAGACAAGAGTCCTCTGTTGAATCAACAACAACAAACTATTAAAACTTTCTTACTTGCCTTCCTTAGATGGTATGATTTCTTAAAATACACTTTGTTTAATTAAAATAAGAAGAAATTACTAAAAAACAAAACTTTTTTTTTTAATGACGTTGAATAATAATAATTAAAATAAATGAAAATGCTCTTTTACTTTATTAAAAACATTTAAGACACCCAATAAAGAAATTATGGATAGAAGTAAAAGAACATTTTTTTTTTAAACTTTATAAAACACACTTGATATGTATACTGATTTTATGCGATTCCTTTAGAGATGTCAAGAAGAGGCTAACAATGGAAAATTCAAGCTTCGTGATATCCTTTCTGTTCCCATGCAACGTATTCTGAAATATCATTTGCTTCTAGAAAAGCTGTTGAGTGAAACTCAGCCCGTAAGTTTACTTTTTATTTTATTAGCTTTAATTCAAGGACAAATATAGTATAAGAAATGTGGATATGTATGGGGTTACCATCGCTCTAAATATAATGTGAATGAACTGAAGACCTAAGGAAATATATGATAACATAATGATAAAATAGATGAAACATATCAATTAATTTTATTATTATTGTTGGGAAAGTTGGTTGGAGAAGCTGTCACTAAATAATAACATACAAATTAGAAACCGTAATTTATTGTGTGCCAACATCAGTAATAACTATTAATATCTCTACCTATAGTAACGAAGGATATCTAAGGAATTATTATCCTTATCTCGTTCTCTTAAATTCCATTTTATATTTTTTTATGATACTGAAGTGCTATTATATAATAAGTGCAGGATTATATAATTCTAATATTATTATCTAATTCCTAGTGCCAATCGACGTATCAGCAGACAGAATATTCTGTGAACATTTAATTGTAAATATAAAAATGAGGAATGTTTCTATTGTTAATTTTCAATTTAAAAAAGAAAATAACTTACAAGGATTATTTCATGTTTTCTGTTTATAAAAAATAAAAAAGCAAAGAGAAGCATGAATTTCTGTCCCTCATTTGTTAATTAATTGTATTATGTATCCATGTTTTTTTTTAATCATTGAATTAATTGTATTAAGTAATCAATGAATATTAACTAAGTGATAGTCCACTTATTATAATTTTAGAATCATGAAGATTATCGTGGTTTGGAGAGAGCAAGAGAAGCAATGGTAGATGTAGCTCAATATATTAATGAAGTCAAGAGGGACAGTGATACCCTGCAAATAATGGCTGATATTCAGGTACCATCTGTCTCTGACTATAGAGAGTAATTAATACTATAATCTATTAAATATCTTAGAATTATAACAGTATTTATTTATTGTTTTTTTTTTTTTTTTTTGAGTTTATAATGTTAACTGAATTTTGTTTTATATCCTTCTATTGTAGTTCCATTTAATTTAATGAGAACTTATGTAACATTAATCGGTGGCTTTTATTTTAGTCTAGCATAATTGATATGCCAGAGAATGCCAAACTTAAAGATTTTGGGAAACTGATTAAAGATGGTGAACTTAGAATTAAGGCTCACAATAACCAAAAAGTTAAACTCAGGTAATTACTTTTCATTTTTATAAAGTAAAATAATTATATAAAGTTGTTATTTTAAAAAAAAAAACTTTTAATTTTACCTTTTAATGTATTTGAAATGTGTTAACTCCTTACTTGTGATTTTCATTTTTTAAATATTCTCATTTAAAATATATTTAATCTTCTCTTACCTTTTTTCAAGTTAACTAATAAATTAGTACATAAAAGTTTTATTAAAATTATTATAAAAGTTCGATAATTAATAATTTATCTTGAACTTTTTTTAATAATTTTACCGAGCAGGGAATAAGGGGTAAGTAGAGCTTATCTTCTATTTCTTCTCAAACTTTGCCTACAGTTCACAATTAAAAAAAAAAAAAGAAGGGGACAGTCATAGTACCCCACAAACATGTCAGTAAAAAGACATAACTTTAATATAACGATTGGCTGTTGGCGACTTAAGTGAAATTGATTTTCATAAAAGCGTTGAGCTATAGTATAATAATGCATACATATAAGAAGAACCTATAGACATCGGGATGGGCAGGGTCAGAATAAGAAAGGATGGAAGCACCTTTTGATTAAGAATAAGGAAGAGATAGCAGTCACAAAGGAATTACTTAAACATAGCAATAGGCAGTAGGTGTTTCTGATGGGATGGATAGGATAGGATTTGGTCAGCAGTAATGCTTATGAATAGCCGAAGTCGAAGGGAGATGAGTGGAAACAAAGAAAGAAAAAGATAATATAATAGAGGATCACTTAATTTTCATAAAAGAGTACTGCCCAATTATATTGGGTTGCTACAAACACAGCATACTTATAAATCATTATGGACAACTTTTTAAAACTTGATAAAACAGTTACTTGACTTGAGAATTCTGTTGAAGAAAAATTAAACTAAAGAAAAAATTTATTTTCCAAGATGAAACACCTACTTTCTTAAATCTACCTTCCAAAGAAACTCGCAAAACAACTTTGTAATAATAACTTGTTGAGTAGAATGTCACTTGGAGAAGGTTGGGCTTTGAAGTCTATCCTAATAGTATATTATAATTTACAAACTTAATTTGTCATTGATTTTTACATAATTAATTTATTTGTAAGATATAGTCATGATTTAATTATTATCATTTTATTTTATTTTTTCAGATATGTGTTTATTTTTGATAAAGTTATGGTCATGTGTAAAACTTTAAGGGTAAGACATAATATTTTAGTTTGGCCTTTAATTTTATTATTATATTTTTGTTCTGATAATTTATAAATAATGGTCAATGTTCAATGTTTAGGGAGATCAATATAGCCATAAAGGCTGCCTTCCTTTAGCAGATTTTAAGGTTGATGATTCAAGTAACAGGAAGAGTTTACAAAGGGATGTTCGATGGACGCATCAATGGTTTCTGGTTCGTAAGACTGAATGTACTGCCTACACACTTTATGCTAGAAATGAAGAACAGAAAAAAAAGTGGATAAAAGCACTTCAAGATGCCATGTTAGTAATAAACTAAATTTGTTATTCATTATATGTTTTTTTCATTTGTTCTATTGTCCATTTAATATCATACTTTCCCATGTAGCTTTACACATGTATATTTATTTTTTGTATTTTTTAAAAATTCTTACAAATAGGTTTACAACTTTTTATTTATATAATAACAGTCATCATCAATAACAATGTTTAACATTTCAAAACAAAAATTTCCCTTTCTTAAATACTTTTAACTGTTTTTTTTAATGTATTTTGGTATGGTAACATAGCTGATCTCAGAATTTTGATGTCGGGCTCCAATGATAAGAGAGTTAAAAATATAATCTGATTAATTTGAAATGTATAATTGATTTTATTAACATTAAAATGAAATTAGTAAGTTTTTATCATTATTTTTTTTATGGTAAGCAATATATTAATATTTAATAATTGCTATTAAAGCTATTATTAATCTAAGACTTTGAAGATACTGTGAATATCGATAATTACATTATTGCTCTTTTCAACGATAAAAAATATTTATGTTTTTTTCTCATTATAACAAATCGCTATTTCGATACAATTGATACAATATAGATGTCAATAATTACATCCCTATGTATAAGGATTCTTCGTCTTCTTTTTCTGGTTGTTGTTGAGAGGTTTTGTTATTTGTATTGGGGTTTGAAAATTGAAGGTGGTTTCTTCTATTCACAATACATGATTTTTCTTATTTACTTAATGTTTTTTTTTTTTATATAATAATTGTTTTAAGATTCCCATGTTTACTTTATAAATTTTTAATTCTAACTCAACATCCTATGGAATCACACCTAGCCATCGGCTGTGCAGGAATTCAAAGAATTCCCTGTTGTTATTGATTTAATTTAATTAAATATGTTTGGTTTTAGGGACAACATCGAACCATATGGTTGCAGGAATACAGATCACAAATTTCAAATGCATACTTTTGAGGAACCAACTACTTGTTTACACTGTAGTAAATTTTTGAAAGGACGGATCTTTCAGGTATTTCATCAATTTTTTTAACTCTTTTATAGTCAATTAAATCTTCTCAAGGAATTATTTAATTATTTTCCCTAATATACTGCCAAATAGTTGGAAAATATATAATATGAATAGCTCTCCTTTATATGTGTTAAGTCATCCCATAGGTAGTGTTGGTATTTAATTGTGTGATATAAGAGGTAGGATAAAATCAATGAAACACATTTAATTTAAGATGTATTTACCATCTTGTTCTATAACAGTTTTCCATCTTGAAACCAAATTTTGTATACATTTTCTGAAAAAATCCATTGGTTCTTAATTAAAGAAAGCGCAACATCTTGTTTTGGTAACAATTTCGTTAAAATAAAATTAATATAAAGTTTTTTTTTGTTTGTTTGTTGGCTTGTTGAGCTATTTGTTCCTATATACCTAATAATAATTCCTAATGTATTAACTGTCTTTATTTTCAAAATGAGACATCATTTCCTCAAGTGATAAACATGTATCAGATTTCTCCAATCATCATTCCATCATTGCAAATTGGAAAGTTTGCAGAATATGTTATTGCAATGTCGTAATGGAAATAGTTCTGTAGGTAATTGTGATTAGGAAGCAGCCAACTATTTTCCCTTGAAATAATTCATGAAAGAACATTGTTCTTCCTGCAATAACTCCAATCGTTCATTTCAGAATATTCATGCCTTGAGTGATCAATTTGTAGCTCAGCCTCAAACTGGAGCTGTAAGCTGAAAGTGTTGCCATTAAATATTTGGTTCAATGTTTTTCTTTGCTGCTGCAGCAGCAGATCCATCATGTGTTCCCAATCAATTTCTGATAACCTCACCTAGAGTTTTCAGTACATATAATTTCATTAAGTCTGGTAGATGTTCCTTTCCTTTACATAAGAGAAACAATGACAGTACTCAGTGCCATCAAAATCCTCAGACCATGTACAAAGCCTTGTGGCAGTCCTTATTTGAATTACCTGCAAGAAGATGATTGTAAAACAACTTTTATTCTAACAAAATTGTTTACTGTAACCTAATTCAACAAAGGTTTCTTGTAAATTCTTAGATGTTATTTATGCCAAGAATGAGTTACAGAAAAAATAACTTGTTACTTTTTGGCCAATTAATGCATGTACATACATAAAGGAGAAGTATCATATATATTTTCCAACTAAACGGAAGTATATTTAAATATGCTCAGATAATCTATATATTTGTAAGGAACAATACTTCCATTATAATGTCTTTTCATTAATATAATATTACCAAATTGACGTTTCATTAAAAAAAAATTCCCAAGCCAAAGTTTCAGAGATGTCTATTAAGGTTTCATTCTTGGATAAGTATTGACTGTGTTAGTTATGTTAAATTAGGCCAATTTGATTTTCCCAGAATAGATTACTGTTCAAAAAAATTGTATTTTATTTTATTTACCAAAATTTGCAGTTAACAATTTTTAATATTTCTAAGAGATGGTGCTGGAAATAAGGATTGGTTCTACAGTCTAACTTCTTATATATTTTTTTGTTATGACTATATTTTCAAAATACCATTGCTGTTTAAACAATTTCAGTTTAGCCTTATGAGTTTCATTTAAAGATGAAATTGAATTGAGATCTACCAATTGAGAAATAAAACAAGGGTTTCGTCTGTTGTTGTTAATTGTATTTATAGTTGAAAAAAAAAAAGGCTTAGTGGGAACCGGTCATACATTTGTTTGATTTTAGAGTATTCATGTCCTGAAATAGGTTATTTAAATCCAACTGCTAAATGAACTTCTGATTCAGCAGTATGTCTCTGTTGTGTTATATTATTTATTTATTTTAGTGAAATAGACACTATACATAATATATTTATTGTTATTGTATTTTAGGGATATAAATGTGAAAAATGTGCCATCCCTGCCCATAAAAACTGCATTATATATTCAGGAAGATGTGGTTCAAAACAACCGCCAGAGTTACCACCAAGACCTCCTTTAGCCGTTCGCCATGATGTTGAACTGAATAATATCCAGCCAGTTATGGTATATTAAAATTTAAAATTTTATAAGTATACTAATTTTATAAATTATATTGAAAAGTGGGTGAGTTTGAAACTAATTAACGTAAATTGAGAAATAAAACAAGGTGGCTGCATGAGTCCATTATTGTTTTTATAGAGAAAAACACTATATTTGCTGAGGGAGAATAGCTTGAATTGTAAAATATAAGGATAATCAAGGTACAAATGTGAAAAACATTAGCAGACTATGATATAATAGTATTAAAAATCTGCGCAAAAAGAAATAATTATCTAAACCTAAAAGTTATAGCCAAACATGAAGAATAGATGAGAGCTTTATATAAGACTGATGATCTATAATTCTATATATAAGAAAGATGAAGTTTTATTGTTACCTACATCGATTTTGATGACAAATTTTCAATAAATTATTGTATATACGTTTCAATAAATATATAATAATCTCATCCCTATTCGACTGTTCGACCTATTAATGTTCGAAATAAATCCTTATCTTCCATGGAGTGGAAAATGCAGGGAGTCGATTCAAAAGGTTTGGCCACAAAAACATAAGTCATGCTTCTCTGCTATAAAAAAAAGGATGTTCCTTAAATCCTTAACTATTTTTAAAAGTGAAGTGGCTTTTTCAGATATCAATTTGGGACTAGATCTAGATAAAAATTCAAAATGGAACGAGAGATGGAAATTCAAAAGTCACTCTATGAGAAACTTGCATCAAATCAATGAATCTTCTGAAAACCATCTCTCATTCAAACTGGGAAGTTGATAGAAACACTCTCATCAAAATATATCAATCTATTATGAGAAATAAGTTGGATTATGGAGAATTTTTATATGAAACAGTAGAACTTTTCCGGTGAACAGCGTTTACGCTGAATCATACGATCATCATCTTCAATTGCGCAAAAACTACTTCTTACTAAATATATTTCAAAATGATCAGCAAACCTATGATATCAAAGGCGAATTTTTGAAAGAATGGGAAAGTAAATGGAGAAATAGTAACGTTAAATTGGCTGAAATCGAACCGATAATTCGGAATTGGTAGACGTGCGAGAGAAAGTCAAGGCGAAGGATTTGGAGAAAATAAAACACTACAATGAATCAATATTAACTGATCTGAAAAAATATACATCCAGAACTGTCATACAGGGGAAAAAACGCACACTATGTCTGTTGCCTAATATGTAATCATATAATACAGTGTAAAAAGCAAGTGAAACTTCATAAACTTTAAGCCTTATACCGTCATATGTTACAATCTGGATGTTGAATGTTGAATGTTGGATCCCACATGACAAAAGTTTAAGCAAGATCATTACTGGTGAAATGGGCTAAGGGACCGAATAAGAAATTAAAATTTGAGGGAAAAACTTAAGATTACATAGTTAAAATGAGACTTCAAAATTTTGCATCTTTGCTGGTTTGAACTTATGAATAGAATGGAAAGTGGTAGAGTTCTAAAATAGATAATGTGAACAAGGCTGGCTTTAAGGCCTAGATCAATATTTTTTGTAATACCTCCATAAAATGGGAAACGACGGAAAGAAGCTCATGTCAAGACAGCAGTATAAAGAAAGTGTTGTCTCAAGTGGATGGTGCCATCTCCATGTCAAAAACCACAGATAAGGATGATAAATAAGTTTTATCTGAGTTGTAGAAAGTAACCACTACTGTGGAACTTTCACTGTAAATTCAGTTTTATTGTCGATCCTTTGTTTGTATTACTGACTGAAAAGGGAGATAGAAAATAAATGTATGCTACTACGTTGTAACCTTATCTTATGTTTTAAATATTTTTAGCTATTGTAAATAATTTTTCAATTAAGCCATATTATCCCCAATATTTTCCATTTATTCATTTCAGTTTATTGATGTTATTTGTTTGTAATTCTAGCCTCGACCAGTGTCAGGGCCACCAGATTTGGGAAGAACCTGGACTGACCATGGTGCACTTGCTGAACATTTGTGGTTAGTTATTTTTCAGATTAATATAAGTTGTTTTAGAGTTAAAATAACCGTGAAGCTCAAAAGCTTGTATACATTTAGTCAAATTTTTGTGTATCTTTAATATTAAGGTTTGTGGGAGAAATGGGGCGTGAAAAAGCAGCAGAACTACTAGAGAGACAACTGGATGGGACTTATTTATTGAGGATCCGTCCTCAAGGTGCTACACATCCTAATGAGACTGTATATGCTCTAAGTTTGAAGTAAATACTAATACTTAATTTGCATTATTTAATAATTTAACAAATTTATTATTGAACAATTATTTTATTTGTATTTCAGAGCTGATGAAAAAGTAAAGCATATGAAAGTTTATGAGAAGGAATCAGATGGAAAAATGCAGTACTATCTTTCAGAATCTCGATTTTTTAGATCTTTAGTCGATCTCATAGCATGTTATGAGCACACAAGCCTTGGTGAAAATTTTGTTGGGTAATTATTACAGTTCTGTCAAATTTATGATAATCTTTATCCTTTATAAACTTTATTATACATGAAAAAATATTTTTGTGTTCAAACTTAGTAGCTGTTATTTTTCCATATCCTAGCAACCTTAGTTGATGGAATTAGTATGTCACCCTGACCATTCTAACCAAAATGAAACTATATGTGAGGTCCTGTGTAATTTTGAGAATAACAGTAGATTATACTGCAATATACTTTTCCTTACATCTGGTATTTAATACTATGAATTACTTGTAGGAAATAAACAAAATATCTCATTTACTAATTGGTCTTGTAAATACAATACATTATAATATTCGTTAATTGTTAGAATTTTGGAATTCGACGTTTGAATTCATTATAGAATTACATGATATAAAAATTAGCAAGTAGTTAAAACTAAAGTTTACTTGTTCATCATATTTTTTTTTTTAAATTAATATGGTCGTTACTTTTTAAATTAGTATTTTAAACTGTAAATCGTATTTTTCTTTTTTTTATGTTAATTTTTACTGCCTTTCAGCTTAGACGTTCGTTTGAAATGGCCATACAGACGAATTGTTGCAATTGCTGAATTTGATTTCAACCCTTCAGAGTCGAATCAATTGCCTCTGAAACAAGGATGCCAAGTTATTGTCTTGAGTAAAGAAGGTGATCATAAAGGATGGTGGAAGGGTATGATTCAAGACAGGGTGAGAAACATTACTGAAGTTAGTCACATTTAATATAACTAAGTTTAAAGGAACTATATCATATATAATAGACAAACTGATAATATTATTTTTGAAATATACAATTTTATACTTAAATTAACCTCGCGTTTTATTCATTTCACAATTCTAGAGGTTTTTGATCCTTTCCAACATACCATCTATGTTTTTCTATCCGTTCATTTGAATGTTGTCTGTATTTCCTATCATAAAATGAATTTTTCCAATCTTATATAATAATTCTTATTAGATTGTTGAATAGAAGAGGTCATTTTTTATTCATTCCAGTTTGACCTCTGAATGGATGGAAAATTTCATCTTCCCTTTAACAATCTAAAAAGAATTACAATCAATGATTGGCGGGGGGCCGGGTGGCCGAATGGACTAAAGCGTGTGAACAGCACCGTGAGTTGCCTGGCAACCGGATAACAGATTTGAGAAGATTAAAAAGTACGAGTTCGTGTCCCGGTGCCGGAGGGGATATTAAATTCCTCGGCCCTCGAAAATCCCGTATAGCCTAAAAGGTGAGGTAGGGAAGAACAGAAGAAAAAAAAAAATCAATGATTGGTATTTTTGATAGACATCCAAGTGAATGGATAGGAAAACATGTATATTTTTCAAAAGTTTCAAGAATTGTGAAATGAATAATTTTATATTTCATAAAATATTGTTTATTTCAGAAATATAATATTATAAATTCGATCTTTCACCTAAACTAGAAATGACCGTATGCATGAAATAATGCTGCTTTTCCAAGTTAAGTTTAGAAATCAAATGTCTTTTAAAATCTCTATAATACTCTTTTCTCAATTTTAACGGGTTATTTTTAATGTTGAAGCCCCAAGAATAAAATATAATATTTAATTTTTTTGTTTCTTTAAGAATGTTCAAATTTGATTTTTAGCATATCTATGGTTTCTCTTTTTTGGTAGATACTTTATGTTTTTCTGTACAAGAAACTTACATAATTTGTGAAGGTTTGTAAGAATTTTGTGCTTAACCTAATTTGATAGCCTTGCCAATTAGGTAAGCCTTTCAAGCTGCTATTAAATCCGAGATCAAAGATATTTTAATCCTCAAGTTATTTAAAAGTTCGAGCATGGGAGTGATGACTAAGTCATGTACCAATTGGGAACTACAATGTCATATCTCAGGATGTCAGTAATCCTTTGGAGGTATCATCCATAGATGGTATGTTTCAGGGAAAGAAATTTATGTTCTCGTGCGCCTGCATGATTCTTGAGCAGCCATAACATACATGGATGTAGAATGATTGTCACTCTTTGAATGAGAGTGAATCAGCGAGAAGGGAGTTCCATGTATATCTAGTTTGATCTTATGTAGAATGTTTTTTTTATTTTTCTTAGTTATCTTTATTTAATTGTAATTTAGTTACTTTTGAACACCTACTATTTAATTTTTAAATCTCAACCAAAGTGTGATATTCATAATATCTACAGTTCCCAAAATGGAACCCACTTTAAGTAAAAGAATTATTATTTTTTTAAAATTTATATTTCATTGAGGTTCATTTTATTTATTTTTTAAACTATCATTGAGTAATGGTTTTAAACTTTTATAATAGACTTTATTCATGTCATAACTATTGCGTTTTATATTAATGCAAACATTTTTGTTATTAATGTAATTTTTTTTCTTTACCAGATATTAAATTCCTTTAAAACATTTTTTTCTCAATTAGTTGTTTCAATTATCTACTCATCATTATAAAACAAAACAATAATTCAATAAAGTTATTTTATTTTTAAATATCAAAGATTATCTGATGTGAATTTCTTAAAATATATTTATAAATATGTGAGACAATTTTTTGTTAGTTCATTTTTATGAATCAGAGGTATCAAAAAATTAACTTGGTTGTGTTTTATATGGTTCTTTTTAGGTTGGCTTTTTCCCTAAAGTTTATGTCAAAGAAATTTCAAATACATGGAATGTTGCTGAATTTCACTAGTCTACTAAGTATAGGTATTGTATATTATCAGATCTAATATTGCCTTCCTTTGATTGGAATCTCAGTAGATTTATGAATATTTATTTTAGAATTTTATTTATTTTTGATTGAGATCAGACATATTAGCAGCCATATATTGAAAGATTTTTGCTATATGCTGGCATTTTTATGTAGATCCACAGATACATCCTATGTGTTAAAGTGTATTAGAAAAATTTCATGACTTTTAGTCGCTTTTTAATGGTTGATTATACTAACAGATATTTTATGAATTATAGATAAATGAGTTCTTAAAAATTTATTTGTTTTATGGATATTTTTTTCATGGTATTTCAACATTGAGGAGTCAAGTTATAAAACATACCACTCTAATGCAAGAAGAGTAAAAAATGAAAATTTTAAAACAAAGGTAATTGCATGAGTTATGATCAATTTTGATTCATTATAATTTATGGAGTGTAATTTGGATACTTATATTTCTATTCCCGAAAATTTTTTCTTTAACTCTTTGCATTTTCTACTCCATAATAACCACTAATTACCTCTTCAATTTTATCAAAAACAGTTTCTTAGTAGATGTCTATAAAGTTCTTTCGAAATAGTAGATAATGGTAACCACAGAGAATTTTTGTTTAAATATTTCTTTGTTGTTCTTTTGGAAATTTATATTGTAAAGACTAATGCAATAAACTGCTATAATTGAGCCCAAGGCCACTGTCCTATCGTACTTGTCTAACAATTGAGATAGTAGATATATTAACATATTAGCTGACTTTCTTGATGGCCCTCATCATCTTTTTCTTTGTGATTATCTGATGGATCTTATTAGCTTGTTGAAAAATCTTAAAAAGTGCTAGCTATTAACTTACTGTTTACCATTTCATGGTACTTTAATGGAATAAAAGTATCCATTATTTTTTCAGTTATGGTTTTTTGTACATATTGTGTCTAGTATAGCTATGTTTTCTTTATTGTTAATTTATTAACCATATAAAATTGTGAATAAGAAATTGTAAAATGTTTGAAACATTAGCAAGAACTTATTAACGAGCCATAACTGCATTTTTATTTACCTATGATAAATTATATTGTATATGTTTACACATATTGATTGTATAAACATTAATAGTATGTCATGCATAAAATATTCGAACTCCTCTAACTACTCGTCCATGGAATTATTTATTATTTAAGTAATTTATTTTAACTGCTGAATAAATAGGTTTTGATGTATTTTTAATATTTTTAGTTATAAACCTAAAAATATATAGGAGGTTCAATAGCAACACATAATGTCTGAACAAGTGACTTTTAAATTTGAACTGAACATTTCTCAATTTTCTTTTTATGTATCATCGCCACCATTTTTAATTAAATAATATCAACAAAGTTAATTTGCAGGAAACCAAAAAAAAAACTTTGTTTTTATTTATAAATAATTATTTTATCTCTGCACATTTGTTTTTTTCTGAGCCCTAGATTTGTGTTTTTAAAATTTTATTTAGAAAAATTGGTTCTGATAAATTAATAAAATAAATTTGAAAAATGTGATTTTGAAACATGGTGGCGATAATATTTTGAAATTATTGCTTTGTTATTGCCGAGATTAGAGGTTTTATTTTTGTTGCAACTTTGAGATAATTTGTTTATAACTGTTATTTATTATTCCTGTCACTGTTGGACTGAAAGCACTTGCGTAATGTTTTGACTATGTTATGTGAATTCATATTTATATTGTAAAGCAAGTAATAACTTCATATTAATGTCGATTAGACAATAATGATGTTGAATATCCATTCAATTAAGATTATATTGGTTTAATATCATCAGCAATAGTATAAAACTGCATACTGTCAAATCCTAAATTTTCAGAGGAAAAAAAAAATTAAATTAGTATTAAATTTTATATAATTGAGTAGAAAAAAAGTATCAAACATACTTAACAATAACAAAATAACCCAAAATCAAAACATTACATGGTTTTATGCTTCTGCTGATGATATTTTAAAACCACATCATTGCTTTAGAACTAGTTAAAGTAGTTTATAATATTGATTAATAAAACTATGACTCTTGTTTAATTAAATTAAATTCACTTTAAAAGGTTATTACATTTGCAATTTTTTTTTGTTCTATTTTTAATCCTAGGTATTACTTTTTTTTTTTCCTTCTACATTTAAAAAGATTGATTGTATTGTAAGCATACCGTCAAGGACAAAACTAAGGATGGTTTTAATCAACCATCTGGGTTTTAATTATTCTTTTAGAATTGTGTTTTTTTTATTATTCACCTAACCAACTCTTGGAATGAATGAGTTACCAGAGTAATCATTGGATAGTCTGTCAAAAACCTTTGAGCAGGATTTTGGAAGTAATTTTTTTTTGTCATGATTTTTGACAATTTTCTTCTTTTTTATTTCCTAAAATTTTTTAATTAATTGATTTAATTAAAAGATTTTATAATATATAATCTGTGATATATGCTTAGATTGTTTATAGTTGTTTCTTTAATATTTCATGGATATTATCTATGTTAATCTTTTAGATAAGTAAGTTCTGCAGCATTATTATATTTTAAGACAAATGTTATATTTTACTTTTAACAAAGTAGTATATGTATTTTTAATAATTATCTTTTTTATATCAGGCATTTTAGGGAAAGTGTCAATTTGTGCAAGATAGAATTTAATAGAATTGATAAATGTATAATGAAGCTTTCCATTTCGCATTTAATAATGTTCCGTGTCATCGTTCCATTCTGTGCTCCAAGCAGGTGCTTTATTATAATTATCAAATCGTGCCACATTTCAATGCTCAATTTCATATATTAGAGTAAACTATTTTGTTTCTATTAATTTTGTATAAATCAATTAATTTAATTATTTATATAAATATGTGTAAAATGAATGTATGCATGTATATATTTTTAATGAAGTTATCTATATGTAATTTGAACTGAGGCTAGTAGTGTTTTAATGGTAGTAGTATAGTAATTTTTAGTGTCAGATTAATAAGTTTTTATGGTTTATATTATATATTTTATTATATAATGTGAGAGATAAAATTTATCATTGTTAACATTTAACGATTTTGTTTGTTCGTAAGCTGATATTATTTAGATGATTTATGTTTTAGTCAATATTATTGAAAATTTTACTGCAAAATTATTATTAACCTTGACACTCCTAAACCAAACAAATAATATTTTATTTAGGCTCTGTATCTATTGTTTTATGTATACACAAACCCACATGTATATATCAAATTTATATTGTTAACAACAATCCAATTTAAATAATCTATGTACATTATATATTGCATTGTTTTTAGAGTTTCTGTTTAAATAAATAATTTGGTGGATTGTTATAGACATCTGGTTTGTATAAGAAAATAGATAGTTTCTGGAAATAAGAAAACAAATATTAAATATTTATTTTTTTATATGATATTCTAAAAAAAGAGGTTGTCATTTTGGGTTACTTGACTTTTTAAACATGTTATCAGAACATATTTTTTTACGTTCTCTTACCCCTATATAAAATACATATATAGTAAGAGAAAGTATTGTTTTGCTTCTAATAATGATTTATATTAACTCTTGTCAAACATGATAAATTGGAAAGAAATTAAATTATTATTTTAATATCCTAAATTTTGGTTTCGTTTATTCGGTGTTTAGTAATAATAAAAATAATTATTTTGTATGTTTGCACCCATTACACATTCATGTTAACTGATAAAATTTCGGTTTACATTTAAAAAAAACCTTTTGAAATTTTAATCACATACAGTCGAACCTCTAAGTATTGAACTTTTTAGAAACCTGAAATTCGTATGGAAGAAAAAAATTACTGTTCTTCAAACAAATTTGTATATATCTATCAAGCAGTCACGTTTAAAAAAACATATAAAGTGTAATTGTCATCAATAAAAACTCTCAGATTATAGTTTATTACAAAACGGACTCTTATTGGAATTAATAATATCTCTGAATCTCTTTCCTAGCATAGAATGAAATTTTCTTTTCAAATTCAGAGTAACTTCTTTGATTGGAAGATAGCTCCTAAATGAAAATCATTGAATATGAAAGAAAAATCAACTTTACAGAAATGATAGGAAAAAAATTAATTTATGAAACCTATGGTACCAACAACGTATTGGTTCGGTTATTAAAACTTTTGAAAATTCTGGAGGAAATAAAAAATTATTTAATCCTCAAAGTTTGATATAATCCATGAAGTAGTATTGAAATTTGATACTCTAAAACATTATCATTGATACTTTTATTGCCTACAAAATAATTTTAATTGTTTTTACTGCGGCCAAAATTAAAAAATTGCAATCTGGTTATATTTCCTATTTTTTCTTTTCAAATAACCTTCAGGTTGGATATAATATGGTTCGACTGTACTTGAATGTGCGCTTGCTTATGGATGAATTTGCATTATATCCATGTCTACTCCCTGCACCATTTGTACTCTGTAAATTTGATTGTTCAGCGTTTGTATTTGGTGCAGACAGGTTTATACCCGAAACATAAAAGTTAATGTCAAGTCTAGTCTGAAAGATTTAGATTCTGATAGTGTTCAGCATAGAGAAGTAAATAGAAAAATTTTGCTATCTTAAAATTCAATGCCCATAGAGAAGTAAATAGAAATTTTTTTCCAAGCTTAGAATTCAATGTCTTCCTGTGTTTTATTATTCTTATTTACTTGAATGATGAGACCATGCATGAATATGATTTAACTTATGCACTCAAATTTGTCATTGATGAATACATCAAAGTCAATTGTATGACCACCATGGTTCTCAATGAATATTATTAATTTTTTTTTTGTTGTAACTTTTACCTTATAAATATTTATGGTCATGCTTTGTTACTATATCATTGATATCATTTAGTTCTGCTTGCTGTGACTTGTGACTTTCGTTGATGCCCACAGTTATTAATTTTGTTTTATTTAACTTTTCTGCTGAGGGTTGCACTATCTCTATTAATT